TACACAATATCACAGTGTATATATAATACATAAGGTGAATATTAAATGTGCCCTTTAACTTCTTCATGGATAGTGGGCTAACTGCTAAATTTTATACAAAATCATGTGAAAAGTATCGCTTTCGTATAGTTTACGCTGGTATTTATAGCTTTACACGGCTTATTCTTAAAAGCCTTTTGGCCACTTGCGAACTACGATATAACAATAAGGGGAAGGAGAGGGACAATTTTGGCACAAATAGTCCACAAATTAATTGTGCGATTTTCTAGTGTTCGTTAACGTATGTAGCTCTGTGGGATCATATTCACCCATGTGCACTGTGAAAATGGGTATTTATAATCTGCAGAATCTTTCTTTGCAATATTTGAACTAGAATTGGCCAGGAGTAGACGCAACGGCTCCTAAGAGTCACATTTATTTTGTAAGGCCAACTTTTAATAGTAAATCAACCACATGTTTTTTGGTATTTCTATTTATTTTGAAAACTGGTTGTGAAATGATTCAAGTTTTGAAAATTACAGTTTATCTGCTTTCTAGGCTTGAATTTCTTCTTTTTCATAGGCCTCACTTGCAATACTCTGGATTCATTTGAATTTCGTTATATAATTACAGGAGCTGGAAATGCAAGCCAGGTCGCACGGTCTACCTTTAACGGATTTTAGACTGACATCACTATCAGCGCCAACGCCAACTACCTCATTTCTTAAATGTCCTACTCCACCGTATAAAAGTCATCATTCTACTCCTGTGATAAATGATATATCGGAAAATGTATGTCCTTCTCCGTTGATAGTTTATATTATATTATTGAAACCTTTAACGATCGCTTCTTATGCGTATTTACTTATAGAATTTACTTTTTTAATATTTTAATATTTTTCACAGTCACATGTAATTGCTAATAATCCGAGTAGTTGTAATGCAAGTATTGTTGATGATCTAATGGACGATAACAGACATCCAATGCGCGGTGATGATCCAATGTTATCCTCTCACAGCGATCACTTATTATCTACCGGACATTTTCTCACCGAATGTAACCACTCAGCACAACCTATTACACTGTCCAACTACGAACATCATAAATTTTATTCTACTGAAAAAAATGTGGAAACAGTTAGAAGTACATGCTGCCCTAACCACCCAAATTCTTTAACATTCATGGTTGAAAATAATAATGACAACAATTACCTTAACCACAGCATTCAGCAGAATAATAGCGATCATAACAATAAAAGTCAATATAATAAAGTAGTTAGGAGCCAATATTACCACCAACAGCGCCATCGTCATCGACGCCGAGAGCGACAACAGCAGAATATTAGTTTACCTACCATGCCGATACAGCATGGTTGTGATCCACTACTATCATCTTCTCATCGAAACGAATTAGACGCACCGTCGCCTCTCTCCCATTTTCATGACGAATGTAATGTTGAAATAGGGAACGAAATGATGAATGGCTCCGAAAACGTTGTAGATCCCTCAAGTAATATTGTTAACGATCCTTTGCCGCTCATGATTTCAACTTCGGAAGCCATGCTATTATCAACGGATTCTCTTGACATTGATATAGCAAAGTTAAACTAGTGAACAAAGAGTACACGCCATTCGCCTACGTACCTGAACCTTCTTGTAGCATGTATAAGTACAGAAGAAATGGAATAAATTATTCAAATGTTATATTAAATACTAAATTGTGGATTCGATTGTAAATGTATTTGTTAAGTTGCAGAAATCTTCACGTATTAACTGACATTAAAGCCAAAAATATTTTTCAAATTATTTTATGTGCCTTCATTTGGCAATTATTGTTTTATACAAGTTTATGTATTTTAGTATTTCCGTCATACCATTAGAAAATATTTGATCGCTCTATATGTATGAATGGAGGTGATGAAAAGTACAACATGTTGCAAGTACAAAAGTACACATCCTCTATTTTTACATATTAAAAATCGCGAAAAGGAAAAACCTGGAAAATTCATCAAAATCTAAATAGTTTGTTAACTATTACTTATTTTTCATCAGTGCCTGTTATGCTTATATACACATAATCTATTTACAGTGCAAAGTTTTTGACCTTACTAATGTATCACAGCTTTATGCTGAAATAGGTTCTCAAGAATCTAAGACTTCAATTCAATAGACTTTGTATCCCACAGATAGCATTAACTGTGCCCGTAACGGCAAACTCGTTAACCTTTCTGCGCAGCAAGAAGGACTGCGCCTCCCACTTTGATGCTATCTTGCATTTATTTAGATTTTCATCTTCGTTGAAAAAAGACTTTCAAAGAAAAGCGGCAGACACTACCCTATCGAAGGACGCCATGAGTAGAGAAAGTGACTTGGTTTCGTCTAGGTGCTGACGTCATCATTGTGAATAAGAAAGAAAGGCTAAAAGAACAGTGGCTTGCGACGATTTGTGATTACGTTTTTTCAGAAGATATCTCGCTATATGTCAATTAACCGATGAGATGTGTTGATAGGGTGATTCGCTTCGGACCTGGTAAGTAGATCTGCATCAATTCGGTAGAATGGCTCTATTCAAATATGCTGGGGTCAGCAGCCCCGATGTCCAAAAATGGTTCAGCTATCTTGGATATCAACTGAAAATTTTTTTTTTTAAACATTGTGCCAAGTCATATGAAATATTGCAATGCAATCCTAACTCATCCACGTAAACTAAGTCATCCAATATCCGATATAACTTTATGTCAAATGCTGGAATTTAATATTTGTTAGTGTTATGAAATCAATCATAGGTTGCTTTTTTTGTAATTTAGCAACTACTTCACTCAATTTCTAACAAATTTTGAAAGAGCCGTAAAGAGGTTTATTAGTATATTACCAAAATATCTCCAATATCTGTTTTTCCTTTAACGAAAGCATCCAAATTGCGTTGGCGTTAGCGTTTCCCAATTATGAGAAACCATCGTTGCAGAAATTGCATATACCGTTAATGCCTGTTGTGTTCATGAGTTCCTTATCTCCGAAATTTTTTTGTTTTTCTAAAGTTTATATCTCGACGCGGTTATCCATTCTATGCCGTCTTCTTAGATAAAAGAAGCAAATAGGCAAATAGGAACTGCAACTATATTCGGTTGAGGCTGAATCTTGTATATTTACGACCATTTTTAATAGTTTATAATTTATAATCAAAATATATACACAACGCCCAAGGGTCTTTGCACAGTAGCTTAAATATAAAAACTTAAATGTAAAAACAAACAACGGAAAAACTAAGCCAAGCAAATTTTTCTATTTTGAAGTAGTGGGCGTGGCCAATTTTTCTAATTAAAGACAATGTGTCGTCTTGTGTAGAATGTGCAGAATAATTGCCGTATTTTTTCACTTTTATCTTATAAGGTGTAGTCTTAGTATACTTTATTTACATTAGGTTGGGGAAAAACTGGCTCCTGAGCGATGTTACGACTGCTAACATGCCGGTCAGCTTCGATCATTTCTCCGATTTTATCGACATTTTCGACGACCGGCCTGGCTGTGCGAGGTGCATCTTTAACATCAAAAATTCCTGAACGGAATCTACGAAATCAAAATTGCACATAATTGGCTGTTACAGTATCGGAACTATAAACACCATTCACAATTTTAGCCGCCTGGCTTGCATTTTCGCCTTTGTCAAAGAAAAACTGTAAAATGTACCGAATTTTCTCTTTGTTCACTTCCATTTTTAACACGCTGTAACTCACAACTGAATGCACCAAACAAAAAACAGCAAAAGAATTTTTTTTACTGCGAAATGTACAGAATGTAAATGTACAGTATCGGAAATTGTTTGATCGATACTTTACGAGAAATCTATCAGTGCAGCCATCTACCGAAAAAATAATGGATTTCTTTTTCCCCAAACTAATATATTACTTAGATAATAGATTTTATCATTTTTACCTAGGCGATGCAATCATGCAATGTACTAGTGTAGGTAACACTTGCCTTGCTTAGAAGCATCTCCATATGTGACGTAAGTAATAAATATAAAACATCGAAAACGTGAAAAAAATTAGAATTTGGTTACTTGTAACTTGATGCGGGCGCCGGGTGTTTCATAAAATAACTTTAGGAATAAAAAGTAAGAAAGTGAGATTATAAATACGAAGACATTTTTTATATTAACTGTACATTGTTTAGGTGTGACTATCTATTTGATTAATCGTGATTTATATTAACCTGGACAGTACGCCCAGTTAGACCTAGCCGATGAAAAATTATGGCAGACGTTCATTCAACTCATGATTCGGTATTTTTACTTACACGGTGGAACGTGGTGAATAAATTTGAATATACTGTCAACAACAATATCTTGAGAACATTGAAGCCAAAGATGACTATAATTAGAAAAAATCATTCCCGGAGGAAACTTTAGGTTTAGATCGCAAAGCTTAAAATCCTAAAGCGAGCGTCGTGCCAGGAGAAGTGTTGCCAGTGTACCTGAACTTTGATTAATAAATATATTCCTGGGCTTATTAGTGAGAGTAGTCCGGTAATGGTGGGTAAAAAGACGTTAGTTGGAAGCCATGTTTCAAACTATGATACGTGAAATGGATGAAAGCAAACAACAATGTTTTTCATAGTTTTTACCAACGGACGCCATCTAAGAAAAGGGGCGTTGAAATTTTGCTGAACCAAAGCTCAAGAAAGAAGATTATAAGGTTCGTCACGAATGTAATTAGATAGTAAAGAGTACAGCTTTTAAAGATTACAAAGAAAACTATTTCTTCGTAATGTGTCCAGATGGTGTATTCTACATTGATCTCGAAACCCGAATATGTTTGAATTAACGGCGTAGTTGAACAACAGCCGCATAGTACGCTATTGAAGTGAAGTATTGCCCATTTGCTGCCTATGAACATCGCCTGCAGCTTTATCGGGAACGTGATTTAGCACCAGCCAGCGATGAAGATGAGAGGATGAAGAGCAACTATAGAAATAGCATGTAGATGACAGGGTTAAATCTATATCAGACGAAGAAAAAAAATTTAAAGAGGGCAAATTGCGTTCTCATATCAAATCTCATGATAAATCCCCATCTTGTCCTCGCACTCGTTCAGGTTCGCGACATAATATCTAGGTCGGCAATCCAGTTCCAAATCTGGCTCACGCTCCGGCTCCGCCTCAGTAATGCAAGAGTATTTAAAAAGCTCAGTTCACTCTCAGCTTGAAAACTATCAACCTCACATTCTCTTTTCAAAAGCGTTTCTTGTTCACCCCTGTTCGACGGTTCCGTATCGCGTTGGCTCGGTGAGTAGCTCTGCTCCTTCGAGTGGTTTATAAACCTATTAGCTTTTTATAAAAAATTTACGTCTTAATTTAGTTGGAGCACATTAAAGTGGTTGTATGCGGCTCCTCTTTCGTTCTTCTATTTACTCCCGTTTTTTCTTTTTGTTTTCTTGGAACTCAAGCAACTATTTAGGATTATACATTCGAACAAGAAGTTTTGATCTTTTCAATTTTTGTTGGTTGTCTGTACGATGATGAAACCAACTAGTTGATTTAACTCCAATTTTTTATCGTCAATATTATCATCACTTGATCGATTTGTCAATAAATTTTGGTTAGATTTACAAGTTGGAACATCATTTGTTTTATGCCGTGCTTTCACATTATTTTTTTATATATTGTTGTATCCTGCTTATATTTGCTTTATTCTAACCAGACGTGGCTCTGCCTAGGACTACTTCAACTACTTTGACACAAGGCAAGGCCCTTACCTCAACCGCCGATACTTTCAAAAGGAGAAAAAAAGACTCTCCCTATACCCATCGTCCATATCCTTTAATAGCTCCTCTGACGATATTGAAACGTCGAATCTGTTTGCTGAATACTTCCAATGAATGTTTTTACCACTTAATTGGCCATATCTTAAAGAACGCATTATAATCATGTGCATCAAAATCATGGTGTTATGAACTAATTGGTGTTATTTTAAAGATTATTATTCATTGATTCAAGTAGGTGTTTTTCGTTCGCGTTCGTGTTTTTCCTGCTTACTCAACTTCAGAAGAGTGAAAATAGACATCTAGAGGAATTGGCAAGTTGAGTGCCTTACGTAAAATGCTTGAACGAATTGTTACTCAGCAATGAACTTACGCTATCCTATCTTATATTTCTCAATTTCAGCATGACTTTCTAAAAGGAAGACAAAGCGCGACGAATCTCTTAGAGTTTGTTTGTCATGCTTGCAAAATTTTCCTTAGTGACTCGCACACGGATTTGGTATGCACAGATTTCATCAAACCCTTGCTTACTGAGTTAGCCATAAGATCCCGAACTGTAACTTTGCTTTATACTAATGGAAAGGTATCACCTCTTACCTTCATAACCGATTATTCAGAGTTTTGTCTAACTCCATCACCTCTGATGAATACCCCTTGGCGTCAGGCGTTCCTGATGGCAGTCACCTAGGATGCTACATATATCTGACAAATGAGGACTTACAGAACACGTAATCTTATGCTGAAACATTCCCAGCTTGCACCCGTAACCAACCAAACCTATTAATTAAATATAACTATTTTATTATTATAATTTTTGCTTTTTATCGTCCCGGTATTATCGCTTCCATTTCATTTAATAAATGAACATATAAACTCTAGATGTAATAATAGATTAGTTTAGCATATTGCTAAGTAGCTCCCCGCCGAATAAGTGATTATGAGTGGCAGGCAGTTTTGATTGTGATGATGTAAAGTCGTATAATTATTCAGACGGCCAGAGGCTTAAGGTAAGAATCTAAGCCATAAACTCCCTCCAATCGCCTCCCA